TCCCAGTCTACTGGGATGCAGTGTCAAGCTGTAACTTAGCTATTCCATATGGAATGGAGGAGTAACTCCTTGTCTTTTCCTCCTTTTCTGTGTTGTTTTACTTGAAGCAAGTGCCAGTAGTCTGAAGATAAGATGAAATAAACTTGGAATTTAAGATTTGGGCTTTGGTGGTGTTGTTTTTGAAGTAGGAAAAGGGCCCAGCATTTCTTTCAGTTTTTTAAAGTTTGCAATAGATATTTTTAAAATTCTGAAGTTAATTGTATAAATTCCAGTTTTGATGTGAGTATTATTAGATGTTGCTTCGTTATCATCCTCTCATTGGAACATAGAGTGGAGTTATGCTTGCATTTAAGAAAGCCATCCTTGTGAAATGGCTAAAAAGAGTAAAAGTCTTAAGTATAACCAGAAATAATTTATCAGAATTTAATCTATTTTCAATTACTGTCATTTTTTCCCTGAAGTAAACGTATACAGATGGTACTTTTCTCAGAGCTAGTGTAGACAGGAATTAATTTATTGTATTAAAGAATAGTAACAGAGCAATAAAATAAATTCAAACCTTCTTTGAAATTTTAGAAAGAAACAAGGTAACATAAGCCTACAGAAAAGAAAGAAAGAAAAACTTTGAAGTAATTTAATGTCTGAAAGCCTGTGATATAGAACCCAGATGTGAAAATAATTATGTGAGGAAAAGATTGATGAAATGCTGTCATTTTTTCATAACCAGAAAAATGTAATGGATCAATGGATGGAATTTAGTATGAGCCATACTAACTCACTCTTGAATTCCATCAGATTATTAACAGTGATTATTTTAGGAGTGATTAGGTATATGTAATAAAGTCTGGTTCTGGAAGGTTTCTCTGACACACACTTGGTCTTTATCAAGGCTGGTTGTCTCCAAAGACTGAGTCTTCATTACATTATTTAAATCTTGCTTCTTAGTTGTACCAGCTGAAAGTGCAACAATTGCTGAACACATGCACTGTGAGGTGAGATTTCTTAGAAGCTATTTTTAATTATCTAGCCTATCATGCATTCAAACCACTGCAGATCACTCTTTGGCTGTTGTAGTTGCACTCGAAGAAACATGAACTGCAAGCCTCCAGTTCTGGGTATTCTGTTTGAAAACATTCAAGGTCGCCTTGAAATCACAAGTTTCCTTCTTCCTTCAGTCAGACATTTTTTCTATTAGTGTATTTTAACATCTTCTTTGTAAACATTGCTTTTTCTACCATGCTGTCCAAGAGAAAGGAGGGGGAGGAGGAGGAGATTGTTGCTGTCTCTACTGAGGCATGAATTCAGAGAAAGTATGTGTTGGTTCTTTTGAAGCAATACACTTTTGTTTTGTAGTACTAGTCTACACAAGTCTGATCAGCTCCCCCATGCAATGATCTTATTGAGAGAAAGTGTTGGAAGTAATAAGAAAAGTATACACAGTGCTTGTTGGCTGTCCAGAAACAGCAAGTAAATTAAAATATAAACAACGTGGGGATTAAGCATTGATAGTTTATCTTCTCTAGAATTCAGTGATAGAAGCAGCTGAGAGTGATACTGAGACAGATTCCACTCCCCTTTTATATAGTCTTTGGGGTATTGATACATAAGTGAAGACAAAGTGTCTCAGGGTGTTTATGGGGAAAGAAAGACTGCAATAGGTTTTCTTGTACACTATGCTTATGTCATAGAGGTTATTGGGAAGGTCATAATGTTTCAAAATGAAGGGCTGAAGCAGATCTAAGTAACTGGCATTATGTGCAAGAAGGAAGAGAAAGTGAGGATCTGTGTATTTCATTTTCATGTTCTTATGCTATCTTTGGCAACTTAGTTTGGCACTTCAAGAAAGGTAAGTGAACAGAAATTAAGGCAAGCAGATGCAGTGAGTGCTATTAATGGTAGGCAGATAAGAATTTGGAGTGTTGTTATAAGGAACATACAGAGAAGGAAGAGCTGGAGTAGATGTCTTGAAGGCTGTTCAGGGAAACTGATTTAAATTGGTGTGATATTGATAATCTATGTGTTGTTTTCTAAGTGCATCAAGCAAGCAGTGACAGAGAATGTTCAGGTGTTAATATAAGAAGCGCTTGTCTTCCAAAGGTACAGTTAAATAATCTGTATGTCTCTGACATAATAGGTATTTCTGAAAAAAAAAAAAAAAAAACCAACCCAAAAACATGTAATATTTAATGGGATGTAGTTGTCATTGGTGTGTTGGTATAACATGCCAATGACATGACATCAGTTCTAACAGAATTGATGTGGAGCAAAGGAGGAATTATACCAGTTCCCTGGCATTTACTTCTGATTTTGTTCTGATTGGTCAACCCAGAAAAAACAGTGGGACAGAATAAAAAGTAGTAATCTGATAATGTTACTTAAGGAGGAACAACATAGAAATTGAAGATATCAGCATGCACAGTTGTGGAAAATGGCTGTCTTAGAATGATGCAGTGTAAGAAAGAGAAGCTTTTTCAGGACAGGTTATGCAAAGAAATTAAGTATACAGGCAGGTAATGTTGAGCTAGGGAGGCATCACAGCACACCTGCCAGTCCAGAACCTCAGCACCAGGGAACCACTGTTCAGAAAAATTTCACAACACCTTAACTTCATGGCTTTAGGTATAGGAATGTAATGGTATAACTAGCTGTGCAGAGAAATGCTCTAACTCCTTGTTAGAGCCCATGTTCCTATGTCAGACCTTTCCAAAAAGATCTGGTCTTTTATTCATTAGTATATATGAAACGTGTAAATATTGACCTACATGCATTTCTATGAGTCACTGGTATTCCACCTTTGAAAGAAGTTACTCTTTCCAAATACTGTGACAAAGTTGCTTGTTGAAAGCTGTAATTAACAAAAAATTGTCTATAGTTACAGAAATAATAGTCTCAGTTCAGATTGGCATACTTAGGATAACTTAGTTTATTGTTTCACTTCATATATGCTTCATTATTCCATTTTAGTTTTCACAGTGAAAGCCCAAAAATACGACAATTAATGAAATCTCCCCTTGTTCTCCACGAGTTTGCTCTGCTCTTATGGTACTTATACCACTTACACTTCCTAACAATACTCTTAGAATGTATCAGCTTCTCTTGTATTCCTGCTACAGACTTAAGGAAGCTTGAAAAAAGCTCCACTGCTTATGGTAGAAAAAATGTGGAGGGTGAGAGTAGCTGTCTTAGAGAAAAGATTGTGCTTTTTTATTCACAATAGACTGTCATGCTGAAATTTTGCCAGGGTAGTCATTACAGGTATCCACTAAAATCCTGATGACTTGTACTCTATTTCAGTTGTGCAATTAATTCAGGGCCAGAGGGTGTTTGGTGTTATTTGCTAGACAGCGAGGTTTCAATTAAAAATGACACATGGGCTGTGAAGTGTAGTGAAACACTGATGAAAGCTTGGAAGCTGGGCTAGGAAACAGAGAAAAAGATACCAGTCTTACCTGCCTTCAGAAACCAATACCAGGATTTTATGTCAGCTTCATGGAAAATACTTCAGTTGTGTATGTTCAGAGCTACAGTATGACTTTTCATGTCATTTGACAGAGTTAGCTTCACCATTCTGATTTCATAATATTCATAGCCATAGTTCATTTCACTTCCTGATTGCAACAGCAATAATTCAGCAGTGGGTTGGAAACTATTTTATTTTGCATGTCTCCAGCTGTAGGTTAGTACTGTAGGTTAATAAATGTTAGCCTTAGCCACTGATGGCTAAAAATGTGAAACAAGTATAAAATTAGTCTAACTCAGGGAGCCTGATAATACTGTTTTTCTTTCAAGTTTTCCCCATGTCTCCAGCTAAAGTTTGGTAATGCACAGAAAAAGAAAATGAAGTTTAAAATTTATTGGGTGATTCCTATGTATCCAAATGAGCATTTAACACTAAAACCAAAATGTCCTTGTTTCTTCATTCATGTGAGTGGTGGAAGTTAAGTTTTTCTGTTGGCTTAGCTTACCAGGAATGCTGTGGTGTGTAATAGCTAAAACTTTTTATAATGCAGACTAATTTAAATTTTTTTTCAGTAGACTGTCCTTAGAATATGGCCAGCTCAGTAATGACCTATTCCTGTGCAATTTATCTTATAAAGATTTCAAAGTAAACTATCTGACTAAATTTTTTTTTATCTTTAAATCATAACACAGTCATTTAAGATTTGTTTACTACTGCATAAGACTTCTACAACAAACTCAGTGTTTGGTAAAAATGGATACATTCCTTCTTTTTGTAGCACTCTTTTCTCCCAGCAATGACTATTCTGTTTACATATTGTTTGTAACTGTGTTTAAAATGTCTGTGCACATATGTTTTAATATATGTATATGTATATATTTCTTCTTGCATTTTAGAGCTGTGATGGCCAGTCATCAAGCAGAAGTTCAGAGTTTGAAGCTAGATAATGATTCAGTTATAGAAGGAGTAAGTGACCAGGTACTGGTGGCAGTTGTGCTCAGTTTCACTTTCATTGCTGCTCTGGTATATACGCTTTTAAGGTGAGAATGTGTTGAGAGGAATTATTAATTTCTTATAAAAATACTAACTTCCTTGACAATTTTGTGCATTGGTACATAAAAACTGTGAATTTGTGACAGTAAGGCAGTGGTTGTTTTGATTGTTTACTATGTTTAATTAATTGCTTGGCACAGCTAGAATCAAAACTCGAGTTTAACTCTTCCTTATCTTCAGATAATCAAACTGAGTAGTGTTCGTCACTCCTTAAGACTGAAAATGGTTAAATTCACAGTCTATACGGCTGCTGTGTTGTATTTGGTTAAAAAGTACAGATTTGTCAACGACTCCAAGATTAAAATTGGATATATTCTCCAATGTATGTTGTAGCTGCAGTCTCCTTACAAGAAAACAAGCAAACAACAACCCAAATTCAAAAAAATTGACTGATTTTTTTTTCCAGTGAATATGCTCTAAAACAGTGGACTGCAATATGCATTCCATACAGGAAAGTGTCAAGTTCAGAATTCACTAACTGTAATGATCAAAGCATCAAAGCTTATTTTTATTTCAGAGTTTTTATTTGCATCCTAACAAACATCTTAGCCTATATGTTTGAGGAAAATGAGTCTGCGCTTCAGATTGGCTTATTTTATTTTAATTGTTATTTTGTGTTACTTTATGTTATTTTATTGATATTTGTAAACTTCTGAACACAGAACAGTTTTCAAAACCAAGGGAGCTCAGTTTTGGTGAAACAGTGGCATCATGGAACATGAAGAGGGTATGTCCACATGAAAAATATTGCTGAGGTAGAGTAACTTGAGAACAAGCTACTAAATAAGCTATAGGTGGAAAAACTTGGTTGGACTGCAAGGCAGTGCTGCTTTTCAGGACCAGGAGATCACAAAGGAGTCTTAAGAAAGGCATTCACTTCACCTTGCTTTTTTTTCCCCCCGAAGTTGTTTCAGTTACTCAGTTTGCTTTAATAATGCCTCTTTTTCATCTGCTCTGTTATGATTTTTCTACCCTTCATCTTGACATTTTTGGCAGTTGTGACTTGAATTTCAAGTGTTTAGTTTAAACGTTAACACTTCATTTTTGAACTCTAGAAAGGCAAGTAAGAAATATTTTTTAAAAAGTGAGTGGAACAAGAGTCAGCAGTTGACAAGAGTAGCAGGAGTTCAGTCAGAATTAAGTTCAGGGAAATGTTGCATCAGTTATGAAGAGTTACTTAGGAAGGACAATAAGGCTAATTATTGACTGCCTCTGCAGTGTAGTAAGAGGTAGGTAAAAAGTTTAACTGTGAATCCTATTACATGCCTTGATGGTTTATTTTCTGCAGGGGCAAAGAAACTGAAAACACAAATCTTCCAGACTTTGGAGGTCTGCATTGTATGATTCGTGGCCAGTGGCAGGACTTGAGGAAACACATGAAGCTGAGTCAGAGGAGATTTAGGTTAAGATACCAGAAAAAAGTTTTTCACCCAGAGGATGGCTGAGCAGGCTCCCCAGGGAAGTCATAGCACCAGCCTGAGGGAGTTGAAGATGTGTTTGGGCAATACTTTCCAGGCATATGTATCTTGAGGTGTCCATGTAGGGCCAGGAGCTGAACTCAATGATCCTGATGGGTCCCTTCTAACTCTGTATATTCTGTGACTGTGATTCTATGACTGACAACTGAAAGTCTTACCAATATCCTTTTAGCTCCCTGCTCTGCCTTCTGGTACCTTTTTAAATTATCTGTATTCAGCAGCACTCTTCATCGGTCTCCTTTGTATTGTTGCCGTCAAAATCTGCATAGTATCCTAGAAAATCTGTACAGTGCAAAAACTTTGATTTACTTAGCACTGAGGGGGAAGTGAGGGAGAAAAAGAGTCTTTTGTTTTTCTTCTCCAGTTACCTTAGACAGTGCACTGGTCTTTGTGTTGCTTATATAGTTAGTGTTCATTACCCCAGGTTTTTTCTTTGCCTTTCGTGCTTCTGCATCAATAGAACCTAAATACTTAAGTTGGGTAGGAACAGGTCACGGGTAAATATATAGGAAAGAAAGCTTACAAGGTGATGAATAGTCACAGGAGCTGAATCAAAAGGGAAATGAGCAGTAAGGAGTAACTGTTGGAGTAGATTTTTGGGGGCAGAAGAAGAATATGGAGAGAACTGTTAAGGGATATAATTGTTGTACTTGTTTCAAGGTGAAAGAACTCAGTGAAGCATCACATGGAGGCTTCATTCATACTTCTGGCAGAGTAACTTACAAGCCATATTTAACATATGTAACAAGTTGCAGATGTATCCTTCAGGCACTATATGATAGTTCTCTGAAGCCTGTATGCTTTTGAGTTAAAAATTTTGATAAAATTAAGCCAGACTTTTTCCATCATCTTTTCAACTGGTGAGTAGGTTGTGACATTACAAATGAGATTGTGAAAATTCAGTGTATTCAGCAAATTAAAGGAAGCCTGATCCTTTAATTCCCTACAAGGGATTTGTCCTAGATGACTAAACTGTTCCATGTTTATGGGTCTACAGGTTGAGATTTTTCAATCTAATTTTTCTATCCATTATATGGTTTGATTATAAGATCAAGTCACTATTTTCAGCAGAAGTGAGATCTTAGTCCTTGAAATTTAGCAGTATCCCTCACTGCACAGTGATGCACCAGTCCCCTTAAGTACTGTCCCTCTCTTTCCTTGTGTGAGACTGCACACTGCATGAGCAGGCAGTCATCTTCCTTCCAATAATAAGAGTTTGGCAGGGCCCTCTGTGGTACAAAATATAATCTTTCCACATCATAGGATCTTTTTCCCCAAGTTTTGGCTTGCTAGCAGTCAGAAATGGGGAAATAAAAGGCCTTTGCATCTAACTTTTATTTCTTTCTGGCTTGTGTTTGATAATGCCTCTAATGACATGGCACAATATTAGTTTTCATTTATTTCAGTTATCTTCTTATGCTAATTGAATGACAGAAGTGTTGCCTTTGACATGTCTTGAGTTCTGCCTGTTTCTTCCTGAACATTGCATGGTTGTCAGCTACATCACCATCTTATGCATAAGTGACAGTACATGCTGTACCTCTGCAGCTCTGCAAATGCTCTCATGATTTCAGCCTAGTATGTGATACCAGGGTAAGGTCATATAAATGAACACTTCCAGTAGCAAATTTGCTACTGCTAATTTAGTTGTTATGGAGAAATCAGAATAAACTGTCTTACAATTCACACCTTCCGCTTGTGTATGAATCAAATTGGATTTCAATATATATCAAGCATTCTGGCAAACTGAATATGTGAAATATGTTCATTTTGTAGCATCTAAACAGAAAAATACTTCTATACATATAACATGTATGATAGACAACATCCACAAAATCTGATTCATGGAGACCAAAGGTGCGTAAGAAGAATATAGACTTTCTATCATATAACTTTCATATGTCACCCATGTTAGTATTAAATATATTTTCTTTTTACAGATAGCCATGTAAATATTAGCATGAAAAATATGTAACTCTCTTTGAAAAAAGAATGAAACAGACAAAATGTTAAACATTTTAGCAATAATGCAATAAACAGTTGAGCAATAATGCAATATTATGATTGCCAACATTAACTGAAGGAAATTATTGGGGAATCTTGGAGAGCCATTGAAGAAATTATATAATATAACTGCAACCAGAAAATGTCATGAAAGCTCAACCAGTCCAGCCCTCATCTCTGATAGAGGATCACCTTACCTCAATATCCCTGCAAGCATTGCAACCTGTTTTTTGATTTAACTTTTAGTCAGGGATGGATCAAAATAGCCTGAGGTAATCTTCTCTGATTTTTTACATTACATAATTAGAAATGTGTTTCCACAAGCCTTAGATAACTGTGGGAAATAATTGCTCATATTTATAGAATGAAAGAGTTATCCTGTCCCCTTTTCACTCCATGAACAGTCTTCTGTATAAACTGACATTTCTTAAGTCTTTCTCTAATGTATAAAAAATGTGGGCAGTAGTTCTTATTATCTTCTGAACTTTCTCCAACTTCTCTATATGTTTCTATGCATTTAGCCCAAAATGGAGAACAGAATCCAGCTGAGACCTCAAGAGTGCTGAGCAGAATGTATCATCATTGAAATCCATGTGAATTAATAAAGCATAAAAATTCACATTTTTTACTGTTGACTCATATTTATTGTAACTCATCACCTGTAATTGTTGTCAGCACATTTTTAATTTCAATTCTGTCCCACTGTGCTTTTGAATTTGTAATATATCCATCCTTCTTTCTTCAGTGTGGCCCTTCCCAATGATTCCTCAAGGCATATCTAACCTGTATTTCTTTTTTTAAGAAGAGAGTGATTTTAAAAGAGTGGTTTCTTTTTATATACAGTCTGCTGATAGTTACATAAATTCAATATTCTAAATGTAAATTTGTCTACCCTTTCTTATGCAAATGTCATGTAGCAGATAAAATTGAAGTAATTAGGAGGTTCCAACTCTATGACTTAGGCAGTGAGTGAGAAACTAATAATTTATGAGTAGACCAACAAATAAGAAACTAGCAATGGAGAAAAAAATGAAAAATATTTCTGTATGTTTAATTTAAAAACTTTCAAGCAACTTCATTTTTTGTAGGTTCAAGGCTTAATTTTTTCTCAGATTAAAATCAGTTTTAACATGATTTAATGATTGGTTGTGGAGTCTCTGAAAAATCTTGTTGCTGTACAGCTTTAAGTGTCCAAAGTAACTTTAGGATCCAGAATAAATTCCTGCTTCCTTAATTATTTATGTACTTCCTTTAAAATCCTTTATAGCAGGAAATACTGATGTTTTGTCCTTTGTTCAAGTTTCATATTTGTTTCAGTGAGTTATTTTTCAGTGTTGGATCACAGGGCTTTTTATTGCTTGTATTTCCTTTCACAGAAATGAACATCAGAACATACATCCAGAAAATCAAGAGCTAGTGCGAGCTCTTCGTCAGCAGCTTCAAACTGATCAGGTGCTGTAGCAAGTGTTGGCAACATTCAGCTCTCTGATGTGGGGTGCTGCAGGCCTCTCTGAGGTTCTGGAAGAAGATGACCTTGAAAGTTATGGGAGCTTACTTACTGTACAGAGGCATTCTTGAAATCCATCAAGTTATGGGATAATGTAGCCTTTTTAAATGGATGCATTAAGTAATTAAAACTAAATTTTGGCTGGTTCTTTTTTCAAGTAAGTTTTTGCCACAAGGTGGAGCATGTTAGATTATGCTGCGTGCTTCCTGGAATGTTCCTTGGAACTTTAGGGTAAAAGAAAGGAAATCTGGAGTACAGTTTGCTGAGACAGGACAGGGGTAGATGTTTAGACTGATAAGCAGTGTGTAGTAACAATGGCACAGCAACAAGAACCAGTGAGAGACAGAGAGGAACTTTCTAGCAAAGACTTTAATCACAGGACAGAGAGTGGTGGTTTTAAACTGAAAGAAGCTAGATTGTGAAGGGATGTAAGGAAGAAATTATTTTCTGTGAGGGTGGTGAGGCACTGGGAACAGGCTGCCCAGAGAAGTTGTGGATGCCTCATCCCTGGAAATGTTCAAGGCAGGGTTGAATGGGGCTCTGAGCAGCCTAATTTAGTGGAAAGCATCCCTACCTATAGTAGGACAGTTGAAACTTACTGAACTTTAAAGGCCCTTCCAGTTCAGACCATTCAATGATTCTATGACTGCATCCAGTTTGAACAGGTAGAGTCTAGGCCATACTTTTGGAGAATACTGAAAACAGTCTTTCATCATGATACTTCTTGAAATAATGACAGTGCATATTTATGTGGAAGACAAATATGGCAAAATGGGGGGAAAAGATGTTTCATGACAGTGACATGCACAAGCTGTGTTTGGGCTTGGAAACACTAAAGGCTGTAACTGGTAAGCAACACAGTTCAGTTACCTGTCTCTGGACAGAACTACTCAGGATAATGAAGTAACAATATAGATCTAAGTTTGTTATTCATGTTCCAGTGTGTCTAACCTGACTCACTGTGAAGAACCAAGGAAGTTCTTTCTTTGTGGTCTTTAACTGGTTTGAAACACACACTTGTTTAACAGATAAGTTTGACAGTTTGACTTATAGTGAGTGAATACCAATTTATTATTATTATTTAGAATTCAGTAGGCTTATATAAAATAGTATCTCCAACACTTTGTCTTTTCTTGCTGTTCCAACAGGATGCTTCTGCTGGTGATCGGCATCGCTTCTATACAGATATGTCGTGTCCAGTCTGTTTGCAACAGGCTACATTTCCTATAGAAACCAACTGTGGACATCTCTTCTGTGGTAAGCAAGAAAAGCTCCTAGTCCCAGAGTTAGAACCAGAACTTTTGGCAGTAGCTCAGGCATCCTGGTTCAAAGCTTTGTTTGCTTTTAACTGTCATTGCATCTGCGAAATAAAGAATTTTATATAAATAGTAGAGAAAACACATTTATGAATAAACAGTCACTTTAAGAGTGTGCTGCACTGTTTTCTATGCTGTCAGGAATGAAAATGTTTAATTTTAAAATGTCAAAGAGTATAATTTGTTTCCAGTTTAGTAATAAAGTGAAGAGGTTGAAGAACATTTGGGAACGCACTATTTAAAAAATGTTTTAGTAAGAATAAAATATTATTTATCTCACAGAACATTTTTTCATGGAAGTTCTGCAGTATTATGACTAAGTGCACAGTTGATTAAAGTGCTTGGTTTTGTGGTTTTTTTTGAAGCTCTGTTTATATGTAAGATTTTGCTTCCTGTCCTTCAGGTTTTCAGTAGAATTCTTTCACTACATTCATCTAGTTTTTTGAAGTATATAGTGTATACCATGCCCAGTTGTTTAAATGGAAAAACAAGCAAGTTTGGAGAACAGATAAAATACTTACATTTTTATATTTGTCTCCATCTGTTGAAACTGGTGATGATAAAGCCAAATTTTTAGTATAAATTTTACATCTCCTGACATTTTAGTGACTTCTAGTTTTTAAACTGGTAGAAATTTTAGTATTTGCTTCTTCATTTAAAGATTAAAAATTCGCTGTGTTTTCAGTTTTGATGCCTTAAAATTACTGATTCATTTGAACCTATTCAGGATTTTTCTCATTAATAATATTGAATTTGAAGACATTAGTTCTTGGTGAATCTTCAGCCAATACTGTACACAAAATTACATCAGAAACTGTAGATTTAACCTAACTGCTTATATACACTTTCTGTTGTTTCCCTTGCCATGTAACGTATTACTTCAGGTGATGCATTTTTCATCTCAGCAGTTTAAATGTGTGTACCTTGCCTTCACCAGGTTCCTGCATTATTGCCTACTGGAGGTATGGCTCGTGGCTGGGTGCCATCCGCTGTCCGATCTGCAGACAGACGGTAATATTTTAAATCATCATGCACCTCTCAGTTTGGCTGTCTAGGATAGCCTGCCACAAGGCACTTACATGTGAGCTGCAGTAGTGAGGCTGGCAGATAAAGAAGTCTGAGAAACTGAGAAAACACAGAGGGTTATGTGAGCCAGGAATGGTGGACATTCAGTTTCTCCAAACTTCTTGCTTTGACAAATGGTTCCAGATTGTTCCTGCCACTCAAACATAAGTGAACTGTGCTGATAACTCAGATGTTTTTCTGTAAAGAGTATGTGAAAACAGAAAATTGTGAGATTTTAACTATGATCCTTTCATGCTTTCTGTTCAGGATGTTATTAACTTCTTTTACCAGAATTTGTATCTGAAAGGCTTGGCTGTTGTGATGGACGGCCAGTAACAGCACACTACTGGTTCCTGAGAAATACCTTCTCCCTTCCCTCTGTCCCTACCAAAAGACCTGTTCATGTCAATTTCTTATTTTGGTCCTATTTTTAACTTGTATGTATCATTAATTTAATCTTTGTAGAGCAAGCATTAACTTACTTCCTACGCAACTTACTTACATTGTCAGTTTGAAACATGTTCCTGCAACTCATTAAGGCTTAGGATCTCTGAGTATGATAGTGTATGTTTTAACAGAAGTACATCTTTATTTTAACAGTGCACAAACACAGAGCTAGTAACTTCTAATGAATTGTGTAACTCATGCCCTTGCTCCTCCATAATATCCTACTTTGACTGTGTGTATCAGCAGGACAAATGACTGTAAGAAGACAGTTGAAGGAAAGAAAAATAAATTTGGCTGGAAGAAGAATGAGTAGGTTTAGAGTGTAGCCAGTGAAGAAAAAGACACAAATAATAGGTGGGGAAGGTGGAAAAGGGGAAAATAAGTGATTTTTTAAATTGTCTTTCCTTATATATATTTTCATTTACATTCCTCTGAGTTACAGGAATATTAGGTGGCACTGTTTGCATGGTTATGTATTCTTTCTAACCCTAGTTTATTAATGGGGAAGGGAAAGATGTATACATGAACATGAGTCATACAAGAGGTTTGTGGCAGGACCAGAAGTTGAATGCAGTTCTGCTCATGCTCTCGTTTCTGAATGTGACTGCCACACAGATTTGTATTTAGTCACCAGGTACAGAGGAAGCTTCTGAAGACTGTAATAATTTGAAGTGCTATGCCTTCCCTGCTTCCCATGATAATCTGCATTTTATACCTGTCCATTGCTTCCAAATAGAAGTCTTAAGTTTTCAGCAACTCCTATGCAGAAAGATAACATACATAAGGCCATATTCACATATATCTTATTTCTCTAGGTTTGCATGACAGTTAACCCAAGAACAGAGCAAAATTCTCTGTCTGTACAAAACAGTTGAAGGTTAATATCTTTTTCTTAATTAATCTTGGTATGAAGATCCATATGCAAAACCATGAGTTTTGCTGTGTGCTTGTTGTCATGGAAGGCAATCCTAAAATATGGAAAAACAAAGGCCTCATTGATTGCTTTATTTGATTTTCAATTTAGAAAAGAAAATTAGATTAATTTTGTAAATTAACTTTGTTCTCCAAATCATCTGTCCCACTCATGAAACATAAAGCATTTCAGTATTAAGAAGCCTCTCTTAAAAGGAAGGTTATTTTATGCTTTTTTAACAATCTCTTTAAAAATTAATATTCTGTAGGGAGCTGTATGCAATTAATTAGTTAAAATTTAATAGCAGTATCCATGCTAGTAATTTTCAGTTTATTTTCCTATTAACTATTCAACTAAACCAAAGTTTTTTCTATATAGTTAACTAAAGATGACTGTTTTACAGTTGCATGTATAACAAAATCTCCCTGCTGTGCCTAGGTGACACTATTCTTACCACTCTTTGGTGAAGATCAGCAGGGTGCAGCCCAAGTGTTTCAAGATGTTAATGATTACAATCGAAGATTTTCAGGACAGCCCAGATCGGTATGTTTTGGGTAAATTTGGAAGTCAGTGGTGTCAGAAAAGTTCGAGAGCAATTTTTTTGTAGTTTTGGGTTTTCTTCCCTTTTTTTTTTTTTTTTTTTTTTTTTTTTTTTTTTTTTTTTCCCTGGGATATGGATTTTCTCTTCCTGATTCTTAGGGCCTAGGCAACTTTTCTTTAGGAAATTCATGTTGAAATGGTTGGATCAAATCCAAAATTATTTATTTGTCATTTATGACAATGTATGGAAACTTAGGGGTTTTTTTGTGAGTGAGAATCTAATAAGTCTTGAGTTTTCTCAAGTGGTCATGTGTAAGTTGTTTTTTAGATATGAGTCATTATTTTGAAAGGATCAATAATTAGTCAGTAAAACTACTTAATGAAATAAATTAACTGCAAAGAAGAATATTCACTTAATTGGTCTTCTTACACTGCTTAGAAGAATGTGAAGTTCTACTCTGTGCCTTTCTCTTCAGACAGCAGTACACTGTCTTGATTTTTTAGTTTTTCCCCTAGGTTATATTACAGTCTTTATTCTCACCTCTGAGTGAAGAAAAAAGGATTTTTTTTTCCTGTAAATAGCTAAGAGGGGTGGTCGAAGTTCTACAAATGTTAGAAAGTCAGCCTTGTGACCCCATCTCCTGTGTGCGTGTCCCGTTTCGCAAGCTGAAATGCACACACATGCATGCTAGTAACCTCCCTGCTTGTCTTCATTTGTAATGGGATTTGGATATAGCAAGAAAAATGCACAGTACAAAGAGACAGAAGAGGGAGGAGTATTTTTCTAAACCACAAAATGTATGGGTTTTGTCCAGAAGAGGTTGAAACTACCTTTCAGGCTCCATTAGACCTCTCTGCGAGCTGTGTCTAGTCCCCAGTAACCTGTCTGAGGGCATGCCAGAAAGCTACACTAAAGCCCTAATTGGACTAGATAAATTGTCCTTGATTTATATGCAGTGTTACCACATAAAAAATTTCTGTCTCAAAAACATTTTCAGCTATGGCAATAAGTCATTTTAATGGAGTTTAACAGCTCTATGTAGAAACTTTGTACCACAGAAAGGAACCAGTATAAAAAAAGTTTTAAAGTTCACCCCTCCCTACTCATCACAACAAAAACCTGAATATTTTCTGTTGAGCAGTCTCTTACTAAGCTTGCAGAATCATAGTAGCAAAATGGAAGGGAGCCAGGAGTGGATTCATTTAAAGGTTCTTTACTTTACTTTGAAGCTTCATCCATCCTTTGGAAACTTCTGTGAATCACTGGTATACCACCAGGAGGGGGGTATTGTGTTTCTGAAAAACTGTAACCTATTCTACTTTACCTATTAGATTTTTTCTTGCAGTCCTGGTTTGTCTTGCATTCTGATCAATATTTCACTCCAGTTAACCTGTTTGCTGTTTCTCACTTTCCCAGTCATTTGTTTTCCTCTAGTATTCATTGCTTTTCCTTCATAATAGACACCAGTATATTTTCTTGTGATGTTATTACATGTATGCTTTTCACTGTAGAATAACACAGTTTAACTGTTTCTTGAAAACAGTTAAAATATATAGAAAATATATTCTAATGACTTTCTACCCAGTAAAACTAAACTCATAAACTCTTCCCAGACTTTGTTTTCATTCCTATAAACTAACAGAATCTAAGATGTAATGTAGTAGTAGAAACTTAAGTTTAACATGGATGAGTTGCTAAAGCAAAATACTAACTTATAAATTCTTTCTTTATAGATTATGGAAAGAATTATGGATCTCCCCACTTTATTGCGACATGCTTTCAGGGAGATGTTTTCTGTAGGTGGCCTCTTCTGGATGTTTCGCATCAGAATATTCCTCTGCTTGATTGGAGCCTTGTTGTACCTGGCTTCACCTCTGGATTTTCTTCCTGAAGCTCTGTTTGGAATTCTGGGGTTCTTGGATGATTTCTTTGTCATTTTTCTGCTGCTGATATATATCTCTATCATGTACAGAGAAGTGGTAACACAGCGTCTAAATAGATGAAATGGACAAAAGTGACCTAAAAGCAGAGTCAGTTATGGAATGTTTTAAAAAGAAAACTATAACGTAAGTATGATATAGCAAGGTGCCTGTGTATGATTTCAGTAGTAACAATTTCTTAGCTGGTTTTGTTATAAAACATAAAGGGTTAGTGTATGGTGATGCTTAACTGGAATCTTTAATTTGTGCATTACATATGCTTCATAAGAATGAGGTTAGTTTTATAATGTTATAATAAACCACCTTCATCTACTTCCACCTGATGAACAACTGTGTGTAATGAAAGCAGGAAACGCTTTCTTTGGTGTGTTGTGGTTTGTGAAAAAGGAGTTCTAGCAAAGTACTTCAAACAATAAGCCCTTTGCATAATCTAGATGTGTAAGAAAATTCAGAAATTCTTCACAGTACAGTTATCATGACTAAATTGTTTGATGTCTCCCTGTTGTGGGCTAGAGTTTTTTGAAATAAAAATTGCTTTGTTTGTTTCTGTGGAAGAAGAAACCCATGGACCGCATTACAGTTACCACTCTGCAGTTTGCTGTTGTCCACATGCTTCAGAAAAATAAGGATAATACCTTGGTATTGCTTGAACTGCACTTTGTACCATGCAATTGTATTGCATGCAATTTGTACCATTTTATTTTTATATTTGGGAATATATACACAGTATCTGCTCTACATTGAGAAACCAGTATTATGCACGTCACACTTGTTAGTGCTCTATTTTTTTAAGTGAGAGCATGGTTTTTCTCTTCAGACTTTTTTATTTGGTAAGTATGTATCTTAGAAGCAGAGGTTTTGTGCTGCTTTGGGTCAATACAGTATGTCTGAAATGCAACTTTGCATTTCTGTATATGCATTAAAACATTCGGCCAATTGGAGAGGACACTCAAATTCCAAGTAGTGGTTGAAAAAAGGAAGTCAGAACTGGATGTTTACAGTACATGTACATGTATGTGTACAGTGTAGATGTTTACCCAAATGTCCATTCTGCCATATATGTGTACTAAACAACATAGATATTGGGGTGATTTTCAGTTAGAGTTCTCTTGTTTGGTTGGTTGTTTGATTTGGATGTCGATAGAAGAGGTTCTGAATTACCTTGAAAGATAGTCTGTGATAAAGGACCACAAAAAAATCTTGAAAATGTTTTCAAAAATACCAGGGTATTAATTATCCTTAAAGCTGATTTTTTTTTTTTCATGTTGAATTTGAGCCTAGGCTATCATAGCTATACAAGTAATTTGAAAATGCTCTCATTTTGTGCAATGATTGCGCCTATAAAGGTCCGGGATATGAGAGATCATTGTACTTTTTAGCTAGAGGAATGATAATTGCAATTTAGCTTCCTGATACTTGAAAGACAGTGAATTAATAGGTGATTCTTTGTGTGTTTACATATATAGGTGAGACTTAAAATGAAAGGGACCTTTTCACCGCTTCTGTGTTTTCCCCTTGCAGGTGTCTTTCCATAGCTTCTAGCACTTAGGTATATGCAGGAAGATGATGAAGCTGAAACCTCAGGTGTCAGTCATTGAGGGTGCAGATTGTCATTCAGTGTCAGTGTTCAAAATGGCATTCATTTAAAACTAAATTCACCAATTCTTCATTTGAAAATTTAGTTTTGGAAATCCAAGGACATTTTACAAATGAACTGGAAAGCTAAACTTTTCTTTGTGGCTGTTTGTTAGAGCTGGGCAAGAAGAGAAAAGGGAAGTGAAGCAAGGTTTGGAGGAAAAGAGTGAGAGAAAAAATTACATTTTTGGAAGCAAATGCTAGCTAATTTTTCTTGAGCATCTTGGTTGAGCTTTTCACCTCGTGTTGGCATTGCTAATGTATGGTGATGTTTTAGTGGCTACCTCAGTTAAAACTCTTTAAGGTGTTATTGAGTAAGGGTGAGATATTCATAAGCTGTTAGGTGCATTCACAAAGCGAGATAGTAGTTTAGGATATTATGTAAGACAGGGTTTCACAGTTTTGCTGTAAGTATTGTTTTTGGTTTTGGGGTTATCTTTCCCAAGAAATCTAGCTGAAAACAAACCCCAAAAATTCTTTTTTGATTGAGTAAATTTAACAGCCTCTTCTCTGCTGGAGTTTAATTTGTAGGTCTGCTAAAGAAAAGTGTGAACTGCTCTCGTAGAGAAATTAGAATTCGTTAATGGAATTTGTTGATATGGTACTTCATCCATACTTTTACCCTATGATTATAATTTTCCCACGACTCTAAATCCAGAGTGGATATAGATGTACATGAATCTGCTTACTGATTGGTTTTCTTTGAATTTCCCAATTCCATGCACTACTGTGAAGTTCATGTGGAAATTCCCTATCCCTTCTGAGGGGATCTTGAATATCTGAAATCATACACAAACCACATCTGAAAGACTATATGAAGTTTCCCATGTTCTTTTTCTTCAGTACATTTCTGATAGCCAGAAGTGTTTCACTCAGAGGCTTCTGCTTACTTTTGAGTATTGAGTAACCTGTAATCTTAAATTCAGCACATTAAATGCTTGACAGAATTAGAACTGTTCTTTTCATCAATATGCGTGCTTGCCTGTGGATATTCTTTTTTGGTCCTGCAAGCCAATGATAAACAGTATTATGACTTGTTCAGGCCTTTTTGTGCAATGCAAAGATGCATCTGTCCTGCAATGTCTGGCCACTGTTCCTTTCCACAAATCAGGAATAGCTATAAGTTAGATATCTTGGGTACTTAGCTTGAGCTTAACGTAAACTCTAGAGCTCCCAAGAAGCTGGAGATTAAAACATGAGCATGTAGTATTTGTGAACTGTGTGCTGCCAATTAATCACAACTTGGCAATGTGAAAGGTAAGGGTTAGGGCTGAACACTGGCTTCAGAATGTGTGCAGAGTGACTGCAAACATCGCTATGGTTTTATCTCCTAAGATGGGGCGGGCATGTCACTAAGGGGGGAAAATTTAAAAACTGAAAACTATAGCAGGAAGATGTACGGGGATAAAACAGAGTTCTTAAAAGATCACATGGGCACCAAAAGCTATGTGAAATATTTGATTGTTCTAGCAATATTAACAAAGAGAAAAACAGAAATTATACTTAATAGCTCTTACAAAATAACTTGTAGCATCTTGAGGCCTAATGATCATCGCTGTATAGAGCGATCCATTTCTGTGCTATTTGTGTGCCACACCACTGATGTCTGTGAGGACCAGGCACAACAGTGTGGTTTGGGGATACAATTTTGCCGTAAGTTTCATAAAACTGTAGCAGTATGTTACACTAGATTTTTAAGACAGAAGAATTTAAAACTACTTGTTACTTTTAATTATAATAAATTGCTGTTAAAGAGATTCTCTTGAATTATTTTATTGACTATCTGGATGCAATATTGTTTTGTTTCCCCTTTTTCCACTTCCATGCGTTAAAGTTGTAAGTGTGGCGTCCCACCCTTGAGGGGGAGGGAGTACTCAAGATTTGTAGGTGCCCATGGTCAAAAGGAATTACAAGAGTCAGAGGGTCCACAAAAACTCACCAAGTTCTATTAGTAAATGACATACTTGGCATGGAAATTGGTCTAAGTTAGGACCTTATCCCCTCTATGAACACATGGCAGTGGGTTTTGAACAGAGGGGTAAGGTGAAAGGGGAGAAAGAAAGAAAGACAGAAATTAATTAAAGAGGGGGAAGAGAAGAAAGGAGAGAGGGAAAGAGAGATCACCAGTCCTAGCTCCAGCATGGATCCTGCTGGGGTGTCCTGGGCATGTCCACGCATTTGGGCTTGGTTGGGATACCTTGTATAAATAAATTTCCACATCTTGTTGGTAAGTTTCTCCCTTTCTGTGCAAATTAGTGATCCCGTGCAGTCCATTCCTCTAGACTCTTCTGGAAATGGGTCGGAAGGTTTTGGGGATTTTTGGTGGTCTCAATCCCCTCTCACAATCCATGCCCACTTCTCAGACTCATCCCTGCACTTGTGCTGTGTTCTGCCCATCTCCAGAAGCCAGAACAAGGGTGTTTGTCCCAGGAAAGTGCTGCCCTACCTCCTGAGGGCCTCTTCTCCAGCCACATTCTGTTCTTTCTCAATATTATTACCAGCAATTCTTGGCTGTTCTCACCAACAATCCATGGTTGGCTCCATCTGGCTATCGGTGTTTGACACATACACATTAGCCCTTTTGTCTCCTAGGATTCTACAGGCAGTAACTTTTCTGCAGTTGTGATTTATTTTTGTCGTCATGTCCATGGTCAGTATGTTTAGAGATAACTCAGTGCTTTTCATCTCTATGACTGCCATAATAAAGATTACAAAATTTCTAAGACCTTAGTCCCAAAAGCGTATTGTACATCAGATGTCCTTGCCTAGAAGTCTAACCTGTTCCATCAGATCCACGAGCACTAAGCTGTCAGGCTGATAAACCAGTACAAATGATCAGTTAACACCTTCCCATAACAATCCTCAAGCAAACAAAAGCATAAAGCCAGGTGTATGAGAATGTAAGCAAACAGAAAATAGTCTCTGTAAGTTTACAGGAAGGATGAGGATTTGGCTTGGAAGCACTGGATATGACTTCTCTGTGCTGCAGTCCTGAGCTTTTCTTAATTCATGTCCTGAAAGGGCCCCGGGCATCAAGAAGACATGATCCATTCTGCTAAGAAATGCCTAACAAATCATAGCTGGGAAGTCCAGTGCCAAGTTGGGCCAAGTCTTTTGTTAACTTTGTAGCCTGCTTTAGTACACCATTCCAGTGTTTACAGAAAAATGTGTAATTGCATAATTGATAAGATGCTGTTAAATCAGCTTGAAAGTTTGATGAGTATATACTACACTTGTCCTGACACCTGATGCCCATGTGCTTTCAAAAGCTCAGCTAAACACTTGAAAGTTCCTCAGCCAAGGCTGCCAAACAACTTGGATTTTTTAGGAGGTCTGTTGTACTGTTGCAGTTTTGGGTAGATTTTCTGCTTCTAGCTGTCAGCCAAACAGAAGACTGCCTGTTAGTCACCCATACTGAAAGCTACATGGGCATTTGTTCCATGGAGACAGAGCAGTAAGTCTTGCTATCCCTATTTCTTTGAGATGGTGTGTCCTAGTAGGTTGCCTTCTTCCCTGTTGGGTGTACTGTATTTTTAAACTGGGGAAGAAGCTGCTGAATTTCAGCCTATGATTTGCTCAACTTAGGGACCTATAGAAGATTAGAGCAGTCATAGGTCTTGAGGTCCTGCTCCCATATGGACAGCACATCATTGGACACTGTGGTAAGTAGAGGTGCTTTCTCTAAGTTGAGAATTTTTTTTTAATTCAGGCCTTGAGAAGCCTATCCAATTAATAAATAATTAATACTGCAAAACCAGGGGAAAAGCGCAGGAGTTTAGAGCTGCATTTCATATTCTACAGCTTGGATTCAGCCTCTTGGTATGCCCTGCTCTGTACCACGCTCCCTTATCTGTTTGTCATCACGGCATCCACATAAAAGTCTGTCATAGATACATTTTGTTTGATATAAATAATCTCAGATCTTGCCATGGGGATTTCTATTGCAACCTTCATGTCAAATGTTAGGGCTGCTGTATTGAACAGGTGAAATCAAAGGGTGTGGCAGGTTGGGGGGGTCCTCCTAAAATAAAGGGTAAATTTCTAACTGTTTAATAGACTCTCATTGGTACTGTATGTCCTCATATGAGGACATCTGAATATCCTGTCTCTCTTTGTTTATGCTAATGCTAGATGGAAGGTGCAAGAATTATGACAAGACTACAAAATAAATCCAGAAATAAAGGTTGGAGAAACTGGCATTTTGACTACTGGATAGACTGAGGAAGATATGAGTCTTTATGTTAAAACAGGATTGTATTTTCTGTATTAGGTAGGACTGGAGAAATATATATGGCTGGAGTTTGAGTGATAGCAAATGAGACTTTGACGAGAAGAAATTTGGCAAAGTGAATGGGGAGGAGATCTTGTGTTGTGGAACCTCTCCTGGGAGGCCACTGAAGGCAGGCTGACCCCTTTAGGGACTGTTTTTTGCACTGCTAGTCCTGCCTGGGGAAAGGGCAGGACGCTGAAAACGTGGCTGCTTTCAAGGCAGCTCATCTGCACCTTAATAGATGTGAGACCAAAGGAGCTTGATCTGACCAAGTCTTGTATTGCTCATGGTGTTTCTGACACACATAACCTGTATGCACCAGCTGGCAGACCTGACCAGCTTACCTTTCCCCAGGAATTTTGCTAAATAGCAGTGTTTAAAATCTGTGGCATAGCAATATGGCTACATCTTATTTCAGGACACCTTTAAGATTATTTACTATAATATTTCATTTTATTGGCAAAACTCCTTGTTTGTCCGATATTTTCCAAGTAGAGGACTGTTTCTCATGATTAACAGATGATTAATTGGTGGGAGAGAAGGAGAGGAGAAAGGAACATAATTGATAATATTGGGCCCATTGCTCACTGCTGGCAGGCAACGAAGGGGCGACCATGGGTGTATCAGGTGTTAGTAATAGCTTGGCTAGGATATGTTTCATGGAAAGCTGTTCAGCTTCACACTAGCATATGCTGTGCTTCACAGTCAATAATTGTTTTCTACTCCTTTCCTCTTTTGCCTGCATTCTGGAAACTAATTTTTTCTTTTACCAAGATGGGGATAAAGCAAAACCTGAAAATAATCCACACTTTATACAGGGCAGTCATGTACTACTTAGTAAACCACCTTTTTCAGGGGTAGGCTTCCCATCATTCCATGGGATTTGTTCTTACTCTCCAGAGCAGGTCACATTTTTCTCTTCCTGCCTTCTTCACCAACTAGTTGCAAGGCCTTGGTGCTGTCTGATGTGATTGCTATTATGTGTGGATACTAAGGAGGGTCATGATTTTCAGTTTAATGCAGATTGACCCAAAATATACCTCATCGGTTTGCTAGCTTGTGACAATTTATGCTTTCACCCCATCTATGGTCTTCAGCATCCGACCAACCTGACCTGAAGCTGCTCTAGTTTCATTTCTCTTTTCCTTGCAGGATTTGGCTGTTTTGTTCATTCCCCTTTTACTTTCTTACATTCTCTGTAAGGACCAAAATGAAAATCGTAAAACAAATTCTGATTAATCACTTGCTTATATACTGCCACACAACAGTTCACACCTTACCCCTGAATATCCCTTCCAGCCAACCCCTTAATGCTTTTGCATCTCACAGGCCATGCATCAGGAAGGAAGCCAGATGTGTCTGTCACTGAAGGGCTAAACTCATTCAGCAACCTGAAGAAGACAGTTTAATACAGCTCTGTGGTTCTGCCTCCTGTGCACACAAGCAGCTAGGCATCCTGTGTCTGGTGCCTTTTCCAAAAAAGGGCACGGGATCTGAAGTCCAGCAGACTTTTTCCTTACACCTATAACTTCCCTTAGTATTTCCTCCTGGTTTGGTAGCTGCAAGTGGAGACTGAAGCACCACAAGAAGCAAGGCATCACACAGGCCTCCTGTTTAAGCAGGCTGGAGGCTGGAGAAGAGCCCACATACTAAGGAGCTGTTGCATTCAGTTTCAGTCACATCTGGAGAGACTGGTTTTCTCTGTCATTGAGGTTGTCAGGTACAAGTCTTTTCTTGATGAAAAACAAAGCATTGCTTTGAAAATAATCTCTGTGGTGTTAACATTTATTTACATATAGGTATTTTGAGCCCCTGGGGTTCTTGTTCTCATGGTTTCTTTCACAGCTCCCACAAGTAAAGATTGCCTCAGTATGAAAAGAAGAAGAGAAAACTCAGTAATCATATTGCAACTGCAAGAGCCCTAGGAAAGAAACCAACCGTGTAAGATACTTGATTAAAACCACAAGGACTGGCAAATTGGTGCCAAAAAAGCTGATTCTCTGGAAATCCCATGGATTTCCCATTCTGAGCTGCTGGGCAAACCCTTCCCTGGATTCAGATTTTCACTTTTGATTCACCTTGGAAGAAACAGGTTATTGGTAATAATTTTTTACAGATGTTAGAGCAGCAGCAGAATTAGCCACACTGCCCCAGCCCTGGCAGGAACAGACACAGGACAGGTGGGCTCCTCATCTATACCCAGATGTCTCACCTGACTCCTTGTAGGTATCTGCCATAGTTTCTTTTTCAGTCTGCACTTTCTGTACATTTTCATTAAATACTTATGGTTTCTTGGAAGGGATGTGTCCTTTAATCTCCATTGGGGTACTGCCTCAGAGTGAGCCACATCTCCATATAGCATGTGAAAAATCACAACAAGAAGGACTCTAAGGGGTTAAATTTTATCAAGTACCAAAATTTAGTGAAAATAAAATAATCAGAATGGGAAAGGGGAATCAGCTTGGGGATTAGTCATTACTGAGTAGG